TGAACGTGCTTTCCCAACACTGTCTGTGCATCTAGGGAAGAGAGCATGGGACATATGGGAGTAAAACGGGTCAAAAGTATCTGATGCGGTCTTGTCCTCAGAGTCACAACCACTACAGCACGTCTACAGTGAGTCCCGTTACCCAACATAGCCTCTCACCTCATACGCAAGCTGCCTCCCCAGGGACACGGCAGTGATGATTTTTACTCCATTTTAAGGATGTGCTGCAGTTGGGATGTTACTGAAAGTGAAAGGTCAGCATGTTTGCTGTTTACAAACACAAAATCACTGACTCTGAAATAATATAGCCTGATTCTAAAGAAAAAGCTATTGCAATAACCTAAATGATTCATGCTGGCACAAATGGCATATTGTGTTTAGCATACTAAGTTATAACAAAGAAAGCTCATAATTGCGTAGCCTTAATGTTCATTCTTAATTGTCATAAATAAAAAATAGAAAATAAAATAACAAGAATAAAACATGTTAAAATATATTTTATATAAAATATAATCACAGTGAAATGTGTTTTGATTAAATTAAAAAAATGCAGTTTAATGTAATATTATTACATTTAATTTTTTTATTTGAAGGACATTTTTGTTTACTTTTGAAGCACTTGAAGAACATTCTTAATGCAAAATCATTGACCAATATGATTAATGTTGGCATAAATTGCATGTTTTGCTTTTGAACGGCTGATGACTTTGCATATACTGCACAAAGAGTTTAATCAATAATACAGCATAAATACAGCATTATACCATTGCAGTCTTAATGTTATTTAATTAATAATTTTATATAATAATAATTTTAATTTGTGATAAAGAAAAACATTTAAATAAAATATAAAGATAATAAAATAGTAAGAATAAAGCATATTTAAAAAACAATTTATATTATATTGAAATATATTAAAATAGAAAGATGCCGTTTTTTTTTAATTAAAAACAAAGTTAAATAAATAACATAGCATAAATACAGCATTATACTGTTGCAGAGTCTTAATGTTAATTTTTGTGATAAATATAAAAATTACAAATAAAGATAAAAAATAGTAAGAATAAAACATTAAAATATATTTAATATAAAATTAAATTATATTGAAATTTATACAATTTAAAAAATTCAGTTCATTGTAATAATAATAGATTTCAAAACCTTCTTGATGCAAAATCATTGACTCACAGTGTTTAGAACCTGTTTCTGAAAAATAAATAAATACAGCATAAATACAGCATTATAAGGTTTTTGTGATAAATATAAAAATTAAACATTAAATTAAAATCTAAAATGAAAAAATATAAATAAAAGAAAAGAAAAAGAATAAAACGGTAAAATATGTTTCACAAAAAAATATTTAAATTTATATATTTTTTTATATTTTTAATATTCTTAAAAAATTTAAATAAAAAAAATTAACACTTGTCCCCTTTTAGGCTTGCACTCTATTCATTTGCTACTTGTTTTCTTTAAAAAAAAAAAAAAAAAAAAATAACACTTGCTTTCTAAACTTTTTGTATTCTATCTGTTTTCTTTTCATTTATTATACAATTAACAAAAGCAAAAAAGACCTCTAACACTAGCTTGCTCTATTCTTTTTCTATTCTATCTGTTTTCTTTTTATTTATTATATTATTTAAAAAAAACTTGCTACGTGTACTGCATTAAGCTAACTGAGACTTGTTATAGCACTTGCTTATCATTGCTCTTTTGTTGATTTTAATTGCTTCCATTGTCCTCATTTGTAAGTCGCTTTGGATAAAAGCGTCTGCTAAATGACTCAATTTAAATGTAAATAAAATATAATTATATTTAAATGGATTTTATTAAATTTAAAAAATGCAGCTCAGGGCAATATTAATATTTAACTTTTTTATTTGAAGGACATTTTACTTTTAAAGCAGTTCAGAACGACAGCTTTAGTGTACAATAAACTTTATTGTAATATTATTGGATGTCTACATTCATCAGGTTTGTTAATGTGGGAGCATGAGCAGAGGGCAGTGGAGTAAAGGTCATTACAGCCAATGATGTGGCGGCTCTTATCATAGTCTAATTTCCTGTCTAAAAACAACAAACAGTAGGAACTTACCTTAACATTATAGTTTTCTGACAGTAAATGACATGCATTTTTATTTCCCTTTACTTACTAAGGTACAACAGTAATGCTATTTTTAATTGCACATTGTACTAAGGAAAAACTGTCCTTTTTGGACTTGGTAATATGGTTTTTTGGACTTTTCTGAAATGGACTTCATTGAAATATCCTGAATAAACATATTCATTTGTGGTATATGAATATAGTAAATGTTCATTATCATGGTATATATAAAAGTAAAGTGCATTTTTGCAGTTGAATGATTTTTTTATTGCTCACATGTGTTTACATATCATATCATCTGCCTTCATCTGGACAAATTAGTATTTGTTGTTAAACATCACTCGGTAAAGTGTTTTACCTCTCCTTATCACACCATAAAACTGATCTGTGAACTTTGAATTTAGTATTAACCATCACAGCTGGGTCATCAAGTCCTCACTGCTTCAGTCTGTTTATACACGATCTTCACGTACAGTGTGTTTTATGGTGATCAAAAGACACATTTCCTCGTTGTCTTTGTGAAACTTGGCAGACAGGTTTCATCATTTCGCCAGCAGCCCTGCAGTCATTCACCGCTCACATGAAGCAACTTGGACAAAAGTTGCATCTCCTCTCCAGCCTCATGAATATTCATGTATAGTGGACGTGGATAGAGGACCGCTGGCCTTAAATAGACAGAGCGTCTGAACCTCCAACACCCCCTGAAACTCTGAGGATAAACCTTAACAAGGACTTATTAGGTTCTTCAACGTTTTACAAGTGAGTACATTTTTTCTTACTTATTTATATATATATTATTTTCTGCTTTGGCGCTGTCAAATTTGACACACACTTTCAGAATGATTGCAATTTAAACTGTAAAATACTATTAAAATGCTATTGTTAATTATTATTTATTATGTTATTTATTAATTATTTTTCTTACTCTAAATGGTGAAAAACTGTAATAGATATAATGGACTTTTTAATTTTACAGAAAAAACACTGTTAAATGTATTTTACAATTTTCTTTAAGTGAAAAAGAACAAGTCAGAGCTCACATTTAAAAGTTTTTCAGTGAAAAATAAAAATATATGGTGTTCAATTAATAAAACTGTTACATCTTATATATTTTATTTACCAGTGCTTTTTTAGTATCATCGAGATACAGTTGTTATTAATATTTTGAATCAGTTTTTGTCATGTTTTATTTTTTATTTTTAAAGTTTTAGTAATTTTAGCTGTGTTTTTAGTTGTTTTGTTGTTGTTTTTAATATATGTTTATATTATATGGAGATATGCGTTTATATAAACACGTTCATTTATATGTCAGTTTTAGTACATCAAGTTAAATTAAAATGAGAAATGTTGCCTTGGAAACTTTATTCCAGTTTTAACATTTATTTTATTTCAAGTAATGATTGTTTTAAAATGGTTTTAATTAAAGTTTCAGTTTTAGTAACTATAAAAACCCTGGTATTTATCTCAGAAAAAAATACCTGTTCTTATAAATGCACAATGTGAAAAATATTTGAATTAAATATCCCTTGAATTAATTATACCCATTTAATCCCTTGAATTAAATATTTGAATTAAATACGAACAGTATTTCATATATTCATATCATGACCTTTGATTTTTTTTTTCTTTCACAGACGTAACTACAACTAATATGGACACTATGCATGAGCTCATCCCTTTTGCTAAGGAAATGCTGAGTGCCGGTCCCTCCAAGGGCTCTCTGAAGGTCTATCTAGTGGGCGGCACGTTCGCCATCCTGGGAATGGTGAGCGGCGTGGTCCAGGTGGCCTGTTCTCTCTTCCCTGACCACGAGGAGCCTGACTTTGAGATGCTGAAGGTGCGGGAGCTCATACCCGTGAAGGAGCAGGTCCAGGAGCCACAAACCAGCATCCCTGAAGATGACGAGATGGATGCGGCAATGGAGGCCAAGGCTAAGGAACTGCCGGTGAACAGACAGAGGCGGATGAGTTTCAGAGCTCACGCTTCATAAGGCTCGTGCCCTGCTGCCGTTAATGCCTACGTGAAGAAAGTTGAGGCAAAATGAAGTTCTGCTTGTGAACTGACCCGTGAGGAACACGTCATGAGGAACCGTACGGACACGGTTATTGTACTGAGAGCTGCAGAGCAGCTGGGAGAGGGAAATAATGACTTGAAAGTTTACGACTGTTACGTATGTCTGTTTAGATGGTGTAATGATTTTTTTATCAGATGATAAATATTTATAAAGGATGTATAAAAGTCATGTGTAGAGTGTGCTATCTTTTACTGCCATAAAATAAATACATATTTGCTCAATCTCTGTCACTCAGTTGTAGATGATATTATGACTCCTAATCATATGTCTTATTTTCTCAGTTGTGTTTTTGTGGAATTGATTTTCACATAAAGACAAATCTAATAAATCAAATCTTCTCTGTTTACTTTCTTTCAGAAAAAAGTGAAGTGATGGTGATTAAAATACACTAAAAAAGAAAAACAGTTTCTCATCCAAGTAGGAAAAGACAGCATTTTAAAAAACGTTAATAATATTATTAATTATAACTGGACTACGATTCAGAATTGAAATTATGATTCACATTCGTAAAATAATACATTTGTTTATTCTTTAAATAGTCTATTTAAAGATTCATTATATCTGTAAAAAAAATATTATATATCTTAATTCAATAGATTGCGATTAAATATATACTCAACACCAACAACAATAATAAATATTTATTTATTCAGTTAGTTAAATTCTAATTTTATTTTAAGGTTTTTCTTGCCACCCATAAAAAATAACAAATATTTCGAAAGCTTGTTACACTGTTTAAAGGTGATCCTATATGCATTAATTTACGCTGAGAAATATTCTAATTTAAAACTTTTTTTTTTTTTTTTACTTTTCGAGGTCGTGTCTTTTATTTTGGAATCAAAACCGGAACCGGAAGTGAGGCTTTGGTTCTTTAGGAAGTAAACAAACCCTGGGCAGCTCAGTGTGAGATTCAGAGTTTCTGTTCAGATTGTCGTTCAGTGTTTCTTACTGTCGTCTGATAATGTGAGTACAGTTGTGTGACACTTTAATCGTCACAAATCTGACAGATGTTTATTACGCGACATTTCTGACATATCACGCAGCTGTTCCTGATCAGTCTATATTTTGTCTGATATTTACAGTACGTGATTCTAAACTTGTACTTGTTGGACTTATCTCACACCTGTCTATCTCTACATACATACATATTGAAAAATCTGTGATTTAAGATTTTCAATATGGTCTCAGATAATACCTGGTACGATTTATGAATTTAATCAGTTAATCAAAAATGAACGAAACAAGCTAATTGTTTTCATTATTGTAATATTTGCCATGACCGTAATTTAAAAAAAAAAAAAAAAAAGAAAAGAAAAGAAAAAAAGAATCTGGAAGCTGTTTACATCATTTGGATGAGAGATTCTTATTTGAGTGATTTTACAGTATAATATTCACGTATTCATTATGATTTTACAGTCGTAATAACTTTAATACTTGAGGTATTCTAAAAGAAACTATGTTTACCATGCTCAATATTTGCTAGGATGAATAACTGGATATGCTTACTATTAAGTATTAGTCTGTTTATTATTAGTACGTATTAATAAAAATCAAACAACAGCAATGATAATAATATTGTTATCATTATATTGAAAGTTTTTTTGGTTATAGGCACCACACAAAAAATTACAGAAATATTTTCCAAGCTGTTTGAATGTGAGCCAATATTCATTTATTATTAAATTATATTTTACAACAACGTATTTACAACAATAGGCCTACGTTTTCGTTAGGGTAAAAGCAGTCAATATCATGCTTACTATTAATTACTAGTAATAGTATTAAATCTGTACTAATTAATTATTAGTAAAGATTGCAATTAAATAAATATATGACAAACAAATGCAATATAACAATAATAATAACATTATTATTATATCTAAAGTTATTTTGGGTTTAGGCACCACACACATCAAAAAAAGAAAGCTGACATCAGACCGAAAAACAAAGCTTTTTACGCTCTCTGAATGTGATTCTATTTTAATCTATTAAGAATTTACTGCACTTTTTATGTTTGTCTCATATTGAATGTTCATTTTAAGCAATTCCCCTTGTCATAACTGATTTTATGATGTTGTGATTCTTTTAGGTTACAGTTTTGTGTGTGTGACAGATAGACGTATGACCTCCTCGGCTGTCACACTGTGTAGTACAGCAGCTCCATCATGTCAAGGAAACAGTCAGGAAAGCCCATAAAGGGAAACAGGAAGTGTGAATTAGAGAGGAAGCGAGACGAGAGAGCGGCCCGCCGGGCTCTGGCCAAAGACAGGAAGAACAGACCTCCAGGAGGAGATGATGGAGAGGAGTTTGTCAGCTTCTCCAACCAGCTTCAGGCTCTGGGGCTCAAACTCCGCGAGGTGCCTGGAGACGGGTATGTGTGGAGGATTGAGATGACTGTCATATACAGACTGAGATCTTTAAGGAGTCAAGCTTCTGCTTCTCACGTTCTCCCGCAGGAACTGTTTGTTCCGGGCTCTTGGAGATCAGCTGGAGGGACATTCGCGAGGTCACCTGCGTCTGCGGCAGGAGACGGTACAGTACATGATGACACACAGCCAGGACTTCGAGCCCTTCGTTGAAGATGACGTGCCATTCACAGAGCATTGTAAGAGAAGTCTCTAAAGTGTGTTTGTGTGTTGCCATAAATCCAAAAGAAACTGGACTAAAATAAACTGAAACTTCAACTTAAACCAATCAGATTAACCTCACTGTTAATAGTTAATTACCGTATTGTCCCGAATATAAGACGACCCTGATTATAAGACGACCCCCCCTTTTTCCAGATGTACCTTTTGGAAAAAGGCTTTTTAAAAACCAAATCTTGTTTTTTCTCAGTTAAACACATTTTGTCTTCAATTATTTTCATATTGCATATTTTTCCTATTTTAATTTTTGTTTTGAAAGTATGGTAAAAACTGGTAAAATGTACCAACAATCACATTTAAAAAATATACACTTTTTGATATACCATTAAAAAAACAAAACAGGTAGCCCATCTGAATTAGAACATTTAGGCTATCCATCTATTAGTAGCCTACCAAAATCTTATTAACAGTAGAAGTTAAATCTTACTGTAGTCTTCAGATCTGGGTACTGTCTTACGTTTTAAAATCACAAAGAGAGTTTGGTCCCATTAGGCTAACGTGACAGTCACGACTCATGCAGTTGTAAGGTTTTCTTTTTCTTTTGTTTTTACTCGCGATCTTTACAACACGCATTACATTACGTATTTCATGGCACACTCGTTTTATGCGTATTTGGCGCCACCTATTGTTGTGGGTGTATTATTGACATGTCAAAGTCTAGACCCTGAATATAAGACGACCGCGTTTTTTCAGATGTATTTCCAAGAAAAAAATATCGTCTTATATTCGGGACAATACGGTAGTAGTGTTTGCTTAGTCAAGCATCACTATTAATGTTGCTCATACTTATATTTTGTCATACTTTTGTGCTACTGACATTTGACATGTTTTATTGTTAACTAAAACTATTAAGAAACATTTACATTAAATGAAATAAGATAAAACCCCCCTAAACTTATTTTAATTCACTTAGTTTCCAAGGCAGCATTTCTCATTTTCGTTTAGTTTGTTCAGTTGACAATAATAAAATTAAAATAAAAAATATATAAACTTAAATATACACATCGTTTTAGAATAATAAAACTGCCAAAAACACACATCAGAATTACTAAAACTTAAAGATTAACATAAAAATGGAAAGTATAAAAATAACAACTAATTCAAAATATGACATCAGTACTGTAATACTGTATTAATGATACTACAATAACACTGGAGCCTATAAACAATCAGAAAAAAAATAAAAAAATAGTTATAACTTGCAATAACTAAAATATTAAATAAACCAAATTGAAAAAACTAAACCTATTTTATTTCGGTCAGTTTCAAAGGCAGCATTTTTGTTTAGTTTCAGTTTAAGTTTAAGTTGAAAATAACTAAACTATAACTGAAATAAAAAAAATAACTAAATAGAAACATACTAATAACTAAACTAGACAAATAACTAAATAGACACACATATTTTTAAACTAATAAAACTGACAAAAACACACAGCAGAATTAATAAAAATTAAACAAAGATTAAAATAAAAATAGAAAATAGAAGAAAAAAAAAAAAATTATTATTTAAAATACTAAAACCTAATTTGATATATGAAATATGACATCAGTACTTTAATGCTGTATTAATGATACTACAATAACACTGGAACCAGTAAACAACCAGAGAAAATGTAAAATATATATAAAAAAATGTTAAAATGAAAAAAACATCTAGTTATTATATATATATATATATATATATGTGTGTGTGTATATATATATATATATATATATGTGTGTGTGTGTGTGTGTGTGTGTGTATATATTATATATATATATATATATAATGAGATATATATATATTCTTTATCTTTTGTTTTTACCCCCATTTTTCATGAGCTGAACTCAAAGATCTAAGACTTTTTCTATGTACACAAAAG